AAGCTTCGTGTGATATCACTGGAAAATGCAGTATCTTATCTCTTTGTCGGTCTCTTGGGGGAAATATGTTATGTCTGGTGCATGCAAAATACCATACTACTCATTTCGGACCTAGTTCTGAGGTTGTTTGGCTTTTTAATTTTTTTTTATTCATTCATTTTGCATTTGAGTATTAAGTTTATGATTGAGAAATGTCTTATTAACAATGGCAGTGCAATTGTATAAATATTAATACCCTTCTGTTTATTTTTTCTATTATTTTGCTAGTCACCAAATAGCCTATGGCGAGCTTACGCCTATCCTGGCCTCCGTTTCACAAATGATCTAAAATCCTAGACAACCTCAACTCATGTAGTTTGTTTACCAAAGCCGCGATTCAAAGTGAAAGACACCCAAGCGAGCTGAATCTAGGTAACCTAAGATTTTTGCCAAAAAACTGACTCGTCCTCGATCGTCCTTGGCTTCCTAGTACATTTATCTGCGCATAAACATTACTCAAAATAAACTCGAAAAAAAAAACCTTGACAGAATCTCTTCTCTATGCCTTTGACTTTCTAAAGGTATTAAGGAAATTAAGGAGTGAGAATTTGATACTTATTAGATTATAAACGGGAAACCAAAGTCACCCTATGCTAAATGTCAGTAAAAGGCACGTGTCAGCTAAGACAGCTCACAGTGGTAAATGCACGAATGTCCGGTACGGTGAGAAAAGAGCAGCCTGAGAAAACATCAAAAAGCTTTTTAAATCAAATCATAGGTTTCCATGATAATCTATTTAATTGTTAAACATTATTCTGTGCTTTATTATAGGATGAGAGATATTTATCACTCCTCTGATGCTATTCCATACCGGACGAACATTGATACATGGTATGACAACACCTATTGAGTTTAAATAGCAATGTCAAGTTGCGCATCGGCCTGTCATTCAGGGAAATTGAGTTGAAATAAATCACACGAACAGAGCAAGAGGGATCCAAACTTGTTGCCCCCCCCCCCCCCCCCGCTCTCCCAAAGAGAGAGAAAAAGTTAAGTCCGCAAAGACATGCCGTATGTATAATATGTTCATTAACATTGCTCGCTAAGGGAGGGGGGAGGAGGAGGGGGAGGCAAACAACGATGGATTAGCCTTCTTCCACGGTCCTCCTGTCTCCCATTCTTGTGATCCTTGTTACTTTGTTATATATACAGTAGCATGTTCAGTGATTGATAAGCGCCACGATTTACATACGCGCTTTAAATAACACTGAAATTGCATTAGTTGTAAAAAAACATTATTCAAGATCACGTCTGGAAGCTCATATTGGTGAGAAACAGTAAAGGATTTCGATTGGGCCGGATAGGATAAATTCAGAGATTGATCGAGACAATTTCACGCCATTAATTGCAGACTCAAATCTATAACTTCCGTATGTAATATCCATATGGAATGTATTTCAGACTGGTCCCACGCCAAGGATACCCATTTGGCCATTGTTTGAATACAATAATTGAAAAATGGTTTTTGACTTACATTCAGCTGTGGAAGGGTGATTTGTGTGTGAACACGTTGTGTAGGGATCGTACCGTGATAAATACAGTAGTTCACAAATGTTATCTTTCTGGTGTCATTTTGATGTCTATAAAACGTATTGCAAAGAAACAGAGGTGAGGACTAAAGTCCAGGTCAAATTGTCGAAACGTTTGTTTCCTATATTTCTTTCTTGATTCAGGGTCCCACTGGGCCCCAATTAGGCCCTAGAACAAATTAACTTGGCACCTTCTCATCGTTTCTCAATCTGAAATGTCCAAACTGACTGCCCAATTCCCATAGAAATATAGACCCTTGCATATAAAAGGGGTATTGGTCCATGACACTGTTTCAGGCCAAGCCTGTACCAGAAACTTGTTTGTGAGAACCACTTCACTCCTAAGAGTTGATAAATCAAAAATGGCCGCCAGCAACAGGAGGATATCGCTTTTCGCCAAGATTGGTTTAGTGTTGTTTCAACTTTCAGACACAATAGTTACAGCTAACAAGACTTTTAGGACCAAACTGTATATTTTGATTCATCCAGTTGTAGTACACAATAAAGCAATAAAAAATAAAAGCACATACTGGACACTAACGTACTGACAGTCAGGGAACCGCATTAATTGTCACTATTTTCATGTGACAAACATCCCCCAGAATGTCACCGAGAATGTCCTACATCCGGTGTAATTGGAAACGCAGTCCGCCATGTCTGTTCAGTGATGGTTTCTCTATCCTCCCTTAGACCGCTTCTCCCTTCCTGTTAAGCACTACTACGTTCTTAATGCCATTGTCTTTAAGGGGCGTGGTAAAAACTGGAAACGTGCGTTTCCGTAGCTTGGGCATCTGACAAAGATTGTTTTGTTTCACCAACGCATGATTCAGTAAAGTGCTGTCATCCCAGACGGCATAGGGTTTCTTGTTCTTGGACAAACGGTCTTTAACATGCACCTACTGGTTCCATAGAATGTTAACGGTCTGAAAAAGCGAAAAAAACATACTGTCAGAACGAAAGCTTCAATTTTTCAGAAAAGGACTTTTAAGTAAGGTACATAGACGGGGACCCTCAGGCCATTAGTGTTGTTTTGCCTTCCTGTTTCTTTTTTTGTAGATTTCGATCTTGCCTTCTCGGTAGACTTCTACAGGTTACCACTCTTATTCAGAAATTCTGTCACATATTTCCTGACTGACGACGGTATCAGTCCTTTATGTAACAGCGTGAATACAATGTAACTGCCAGCTTGTGAATTTGTGGGTGATTTGAGTTCAGCTCTAAATATTGGAGATAGAGAGTATAGAGATCTGTACGGTAGTGTCCAGCGTGTGATTTGTTTTTGCATTTCTTAATCTTTTAACACATTTAAGATGTTTTACTGGTTGAGCAGTAAACTGGTTGAACAATATTGAGGTTTTATGTAATATTTGAGGCTTTAAAATGGCCGTTCAATCAAACAGAAAAATATACAACAACCAGAGAGCTACTGCATTTCACAATAAATGTTTTTTCAGTAATGGCTCATGTCACAATTTTCATCAAAATATTGCAAAGGCAATACTGGCGTAGATTCCCATGTGTACAAATCTTATGTAAGACAAATTTATAAAAGATGACATGGTGTGATAAATCGGCTTCTAAGACTTACAGGGTTACAAACGAAATCCTCTGCTACGTGAAAATGGGCGCTGGACGATTACAATCTAGTAGAACTGTAATAGACAACTCGATGGTTTACGGCCTAGCAAAATAATTATCACATTATTTAATCATATTATATATTCGTCCAGAATCGGCCTTTTTTTTAAAACTACACGGATCATTCACTAAAATCATTGTCCATTGTCCAACGCACAGGTATATTTAAAGTTGAATCCCAGTACTATACGGGCAATGATCTATTTGAAACGTTGACGCAAAACTTTGACAAAATTTACGTCATAAAAAAACTTGAAAGGCTTCAGGAAATATTACTCATCCATGTCAATCTTTGTACCTCTCTGTTTAGCAGGTATGTTTCGGTTGTCGCTTATTTAAAGATTTAACACAAACACCGCTTTATTTACATCTCGTACTCAGAATTGCTCAGAATTGTACCCAAATTGATTATTTTTTCATAAGTTTTCATTTCCGACAAGCAGGTGAATGCGGGTATTCAGTATTTACTATTGTGTTGTTACTGGAACAGCTGGAGAGCAGAATTGGACTGTGAGTACTATCCAGTTTCTTATTTAGATAGACAATAGGGGGTTTTAAGCTCTTTTACATTATTTTCTTAATATTCCCGAGATATAAGAAATAGGCAGGATGGAAGTTGCTGGACTCTTAACTCTTGAATACTGTTCAACGCCAACAGAATATCTCGAAGACATGTTTTATTATAAAGTATGTGACGTATGTCTGTACAGTTTTCAGGCACGTTGCTTCTTCATAGTGCCAATTTGCAGCGATGATATGATAAAAAGTATTGCATTAAGACAGATAAAGTGCGTTAGACTATTGAATTTGCATACGGTAATATTTGTGTCGCAAGTGATTTTTTTGTTATTTATACTAATATTCCATTGAAAGAAGGCTGTTAAAACCTTCAAAATAAAAAAGGTCACCAGAAAATTTCGAATAAATGTTTTTAAAGCTATCAACGTGATTTGTTTACATACATTTTACATAAATGCTATTACATATCTCTGTAACGTTCCAAAAAGGTATGTGGTACGTCGTTGGTTGATTTTTTCTTTGCAAACGGCGCAAAAAGTCCGTGAAAACGAATTATTTAATGGATTTCTCACTTCGCACGTGATATCAAAACGTTTCTTAAGATTTTCAGACGGTCACCTCTCAGGCAACGTAGACTGTATAAGTGCGTCTGATCTCTCGCTATTTTCTATGTATTTCTTACCGGCGTGGGGAAATGAAAACACACGCGTGCTGTAATTGAACACACGATGGACAAAACCACGACGTGAGTATGCATTCATTAATGCTTTGTAATTATCAGCAATTGCTATTATCTCTTTACAATGAATATCGTTTCGAAACTATTATTTAGACACGTGCACGTTATTGACGAAGTTGATGGTCTGCCGCGTGCGGGCTTTCGTGATTGCCGCTTGAACATTAAATCTCGGTTATAGAAACTGGACTTGATGAGAAGTTTAATTTGCACGCAGGTGAACAGATGTAGACATACATGTACCGAAAGCCTGTCTTTATGCCTACAGATTATGTTGGCAGTCACCTGCATGACTTTGATCAGACTTCCATCACGATGTGGTTCAGTTTGCAGCATGTGAGTTGAAAGAGGCGTCACATTTTTTTGTATGAAGCATTCTTACAGCATTGCGCTTGGGATTGAAGCTAGATATTTCACCCTCCAACCCAACCCCCATCCCCCGGACTGCAACACTAGCGATTACGAACATGCGGGTTGAGTACGAACACTTAGCAATAAATCTTGCCCGTTTAACTGAACACAAACTGACAACTCTATTTTGAAGGTGGATTTTAGGAGCCGTTCTATAATTCCAATGTGTAAAGTGAAGGCTTTATTATATAAGGCGCACATCATAATCGAGGCAGAACGTTCCCGAGTCGCCGGAGATTTCATCTCTTGTATTACTCCATAATCGCAGCGGCCAATAACGGGAGTCGCGTTTTAATCAAATATGATAGTCTGTGATCTCGTTCTTTTTAAATGGGAACCCATTAGAATGAATACGCTTGAGGCAGAAGGCGTAGGATGCTAGTTGGGATTGGCTATCAGCCTGCCTCCGCATTTTATTTAAGGTAATGTATGTGGTAATGTATGAGATAGAACTAAAGCGAGGAGTTGATTACGGTGCCAGCAACGTAGGTGCCTAATACGCAAGGTAATTTCCATTACTTTTTGATAATGTATTTCTGAGGTTTTGACACGGAATTATAATAAGTATCATAGGAGCATTAAATAGCACGTGTAGATTGCACTTTGTCGGGTTGTTAACGTGACCTGGCTCAGTTGTGATCGATTTCGTTTCAACAAGGACAACTTCTAACAAGCTGCCAGGAAGGTTCTCTCTTTCTTGCGTTTTCCTTAGGTAAGTACTTTAAAACATAGATGCTAAAGTTGCAGCAACGCTGCAGAAACAGAGAGAGATTATATCAGCATTAAGGAGACAGGATCGGAAATGGAGTTTGTCTTGCAGGTTTATGTAGTGCCAAGAGTCGTTGGCAGAAGCGAACCGCCTTGTTCTACTTGGTAAGATGTACATCCCATCGATTATGGTTAAATCGCATGCTATTTTAATTCTAATCAATTTATCTGTAAATTCATTGGATTTTGCCAGTTCTGCAAATTGGTGGCTGATTCCTCCAATTAGCCTGGTAAATGAAGAGAAGGTATGCTGTCTACCTGGAGCAAAATTAATCGATGTTTCTTTCGTTTCTATGTAAAAGAATTTGCCCACATGATTAAAAGTCGACCTTCACCGGAACCCTGAATTAATCACAACAGAAATTAAAACTGCATTGGTATTGGAATATATAGGAGAAAATTGGAGCCAAATATTACAGGTAAAAGTCAACATGCGAGGAGAAGATTGATCACTAACATGCAATGCATGAATACAAGGGAATTATGACGAATTATGCTTACCAATTGGCCTTTATGAAACCCATGCAAGTAAAGGCCACACGAAGATAATTGCCGATGCCATGAATTTGTACCTGTATAGCTCGATTAACCCTATCACCTGTTTGACATTAAAGTTAACGACGGCTCTCTGTTTTCAGGTTCATTTTTAAAGACTGAAATAGAAATGCTACCTCCTCCAACTTAGTTTTTATATAAGATCGAAAGCTAAGGCGCAAAATAAGAAAGTTGACTGTGTGATAGATTTATCCCAAACGATGGCATTTGCTAGGCGTTGATACATGTAATGAAAAAATTCGATCGACATGACTGTTTATAAAGTATAAATCTTCTTTTATTACCATTTCCAACTGTAGACGATGGGCAGCCACCTCTTTCGCTGCAAATAGTATTTCGCATGACCGCTACATGTATATAACGCTGTATTTTGCCAACGAGCATCGGTTCCAATCGGTATATGAGAAAGTTAAAATATACCCTCTTCAATAATTAAAACTGATATTTTGAAGCCAACTTGGGCCTTTGCCAATAGTAATGGCCTTTAATGGAAGCCCACAGGGAGATGGCAATCAAAGTGGCACCATATATTTCATATCACATCTTTGAAAAGTAAGCTGTATCAGACATATCAGAAATAATCTGTATTGGTGCAACTGAGTTGAAAATTGCCCTTCTAATCCTCCTTTCACATTACATAGGATCCACTGGGGAAATCTCATTAGTATTGACCTCATACAAGAACATTGGATGGGGTTGGTATTTGCCTTCACAAAAGCTTTCGTAGTGATTCTTTAATATCGTTTTTATTTTCAGAAAAGGTGCTATTAAACATCCCGTTAACTGTTGCAGAAGAATGACATATATTCTGAGAACGCAGTTTGGCACATGGATGCCACGTGCTTTAAATTTTTAAAATTACAATTTGCGATGTTTTCATTCTCTGTAACAAATAGATTTCTCACTGTTTTTCTGAAAACAAGAACTGCGATATGTGCGGATGAAGAGGCAATAGGGAAATTATATCCTAAGCTCATTGTGGCCTTGTCTTTCATATCTCTAGTCAAGCTACATGTATGTAGTTTGTCGGCTCATGGCCTGAATGCTTGCTAATACTATATGCCCTATACGAACATGTGCATGTATTCACATGGGCCTTTTGACCTGCTTTTGTCGTTTAAACGTCGGGGCGTTTAAATTTGCCCAATCGTGGGCGTATACCTTTGTGTTTTGCGGCAAATGCCCAGGCCCTGCCGTGAAGAAGAGATTTGCGAGCTGTGCTAATATGTTACTGAGCTGAGCTGGAACCCATATGAATGCTGTCTATGAAGGCTATTTGGCTCGCCGTTGTAGGGATTTCTGAAATCTGTGAAAACAAGGCTGTCTCTCTCTAATCGATTGTTATGCAATATCTTTGTGTTTGACTATCGTTTGATATGATTGCTTTCAACGGTATCAGCCAAGAGTAGTTGAAAGTCCAGTTGCACTGTGATGAATAAAAATTTAGAGCGTGCAGGAAATATACAGCGCATTAAGTTATTACTTCAGTCTATTACTTCATCTACCGCACTGTCACAGGTTTTAATACCAGACAAGGAACCATCAGAGAAATCCATTTGTCTTAGCATGAAATCAACAAATTATTTTTCAGCAGCAGTAACGGTTCTTCAATCAAGATAGTCTCAGGCGCCAAGAAAACAGAATTTAGCTTTTATTTCTGAATGTCGTGTCAGACCCGCTCGTGGAGGATCGTGCTTTGGGAGCGTGTCATCAGCTTCTAGTGATATATAATGACACTCTTGCACAATGCATTTGTTTGCAGCAAAGCAATTTGTGCCTCACATAAGAAGTCTGCAGGTGGTTGTTTCACATGGCGGTCCGTCATGTCGGGTTGCTGTCATTTCCTTTAATCCCCGTGGGCAAGTCGCCTGACGCGATAAGCACGTCTGCTGCTTTCCTGTAATCGACTTGAAATCTGCGAAATGCTTTCTGCTTTGTTTCTCTGAAATTCCGGGTCTGGAGTACAGGGAACGTTGAGGCTGGGACATATTGCAGCAGCATAGGAAAGCTGTGGGTGAGTAACGTGTGGGGGCTGCTCATCATTTTCGAAAGAACATCTTAAGGCAATGTTACATGAAGGTAGATGTCTGAAAAAGCAAAAAAAGTTTGGATCGCTCTGCAAGCATCTGTAGGTATGTAAGAAAAAAATCGATTAGTAACGAAGGAAGTTTTACTTTTACAGGTTGATCATGTTCACAGCAATTTTTGCGCCAGGTTTAATCCACACGGTGTGGTTTTTTTAAATAATTATTTGGGTGGGTTTCTTTCATTCACTAACAGGAGGTTTCTCTATATAGTTACGTACAGGTATACGCACTGTAGCATTGGTTTGAATGGAATCGCCCTTTTAATGTCAAAGGAAGAGTAATCGAAGGGACCTTGGTTCCTAGTAATGGTAGTTCTACCGACCGCCATAAGTTAAGCCCCCTTTACACTGGACGGCGTCCTTTCTGCGTCCCGTAGCATGGCACTGTTTGAGAGTTAAAAATATTTTACGTGCCGACAACTGGCCGATTATTGAGTATTAATTCTGCAATTCATTTTGGATGGAAGACCAACATACAAAAATGGAACAGAAAGAGTTTAATAGAGGTAACGAGGACGGCAGTAGAAAGAGGTGGAGGGGCTTGGTCCATGGAGTGTGCCAACAATCTACGTTATACGGAGGATAGGGCTGATGATGATTATTATTATTATTATTATTATTATTATTATTATTATTATTATTCTGCAACCAAAGCGATACTTGTACCTCCTTTTTACGACCACAGCGATGCCAGTTTCATGGTCACACAAAGGACGCAGAAAGGTCGCCCTCCAGTGTAAAGGGGGTTAACTTTTTAGGAGCAGTCGTCCCAATGGGACTTAGGTTCATGGCTCATAACTATTACTACCGGACTTTTGATTCATGCTACATGTGCACCTATGGCAACAATCTCTGTCCATCCATTATGAAATCCTGTCAATATGAAATAACATTTTATAGTAAGCTATAAATATGATGAAAAATATCTAATAATATATGGATACTTTCGTTACTAGAATTTTAAGAAAGCGCGTACTAGTAGGACGTGGATTACTACACGTAGGACTCGCATTACCTGGGAGCCTTGGGTCCTACGGAAATTGAATCCAAGTAATGTATACTCTAAGTTTTCCATTCCTTGCAGTGCATGGGACTAACATAACATGCATATGATAGTAAAAGTAGCTGAAGCTTCTCTATTACAAAAGATTCAAAACATGTTATTTTGATTAACGAAATCAGAGTTTTGTCGTTTATCGAAGATTAAACTAAGTTCTGTCACAAGTTGACTAGACCAATTTACATTTAAGGATCCCCGTTGTTAAGCAAATTGCTCATCTTGTGACTTCAAAGAATTTCTGATCATTTGTGAAGATGCATCGAGTCTCATCTTATCTTCAACTTTCAGTCACTAAAACGTTTTCGTTTGTGCAATATAGCTAATTGAGAATAATTCCAAATTAGGATTTTTGTAGTGTAGCAGTAGTAGTAGTGGTAGAGGCAGTGGTGCTCGTATGGCAAGTCTTTGAGGCTGCATTTGGCAAAGATTTTGGGTAACATGATGGCCACAAAAACCGGTGCAGTATTTTCAAAACTGATGAATTTAATTCAGTTAGTATTCATTTTTTCGTCATGTTGTTAATTAGAATGTTGATAGAGTAGTTTCCGAATGAGTACAATATGGCATTTATTATGTGCAGTAACAGTTTAACACGCGTTGTTGAAAGCCTATTTGGCATTAACTTCATGGTGTGTTTTTTAAAGCAACGGAACTCTTGTTCCCAAATTTGTTAATTTGCTATTAAACACATATCCCGTTCTCAATTGTTATATTGCTTTTGTATATAAAATACACCAGAGTACACAGGTTGCATTAGCGAAACAGTGGTAAATTAGCCTCTCAAGTAGTTCCAAGTCGGAAATAGGGTCTGGGTAATAGACGTAATTTACCAACAAAGAACGAACAATATCCTGTAACATCCAAAGTTATGATCATTAGACTCCGATTGTATTGATTGCTAGATGAGATTGTGAAAGGCTCAAATCTTGGAGGAGGAATTATTCATTGTCCAC